TGGAGCCCTCTGCGGAATGGTCTTGGAGCCCGCGCCGAGGATCTGGAAAATGTCCGGGACCATCGCGGCGGCCTCCGAGGCCGGGGACGCCGAACCCCCGTGAAAACACAGCGAAAATGAGCCCCGGTACTCCCATGGAGGGTCGGGCAGCTGTTTTCGGGCCCCTGGGTTAGAACCATCGCTCGCGCTTCGCGCGCGCTCAGGTTCTAGCCCAGGCCGGGGGGGCGCTGGACGATCTTGGACAACGCTATCAAGCACAGGCGCGCGACGGCATCTGAGGAGCTTCTGGGGTGTTCCGCATGCTTCGTCAACTGGCTGCTGGAGGCACCTCTTGGGTGCTTCTTAGGGGGGCGTCTGAAGGTCCCTTGGGGGCATCGGCTCTGCAATCAGAAGTCGTCATTGGCCGTCTTGGCTGCGTGGAGGCCCGACTTGAGGCCACCTGCGGCCAGATTGAGGCAATCCGGAAGCCTCCCAGGGGCCTCCTGGAAGCAGTTTTGACGCATCGAGGGTAATCTTGGGCTATTTCAAAGCCTCTTGGACGTCTCCTGGTGGCCTTTTAGGCCCTCGGGGAAGCTTTTGGGGTCCTCGTCGGACCACTTGGGGGCCTCTTGCGGCCTCCTGTGGGCCTTGTGGGGGGACCGCTCTGCTGTTGGGTCGCGTTCCCCTTCTTGGGCCTCTCTTGGGGCTCTTGGGACCCTCTCGGGCCGTCTTGGGCGCCTCAAGCACCGTCTTGGGGCCCTCGCGGGCCGTCTTGGGGCCCTCTTGGAAGCCTCTTCCTCTATATGGGAGCGGTATTGGAAGCCTCTTGGGCCGTCTTGGAGCATCGGGATGCCAAAAGGCAGAAAAAAAAACGTCAAAGCCCAATCGTAAAACAATGTGTTGTGCCTCTTGAGGCCACCTTGGGAGATCTCTTGGAATCTCGTCGGCCCCCTTGGGAGCTTCTTGGGGGCCTCTTGGATCCGATTGGGGGCCTCCTGGGACTTCCCGAGACCCTCTCGGGGTAGAAAGCTCGGATTCTCGGTTCGTGTTTCCCTTCTTGGGCCTCTCTTGGGGCCGTCTTGGGGCCCTCTCGGGCCGTCTTGGGCGCATCAGGAACCGCCTTGGGGCCCTCGTGGGCCGCCCAAGGCCCTCTTGGAAGCCTCTTCGGCTATATTGGAGCTGTCTGGGAGGCCTCTTCCTCCTCCTCGTCCCCCTCCTCCTCCTCCCACTCCAGCTCTCTCTCCTCCTGATCTTCCTCCTCCTCCTGCAGCGTGTTCCGGAAGGCTCCCGCCGGAACATGCTGTGCACAAGTGCTGTCACTGCTCCTGCCACCGTGCCCTGGGTGGTGGGTCAGAGGCCTTATGGGTGTTGCTTTGGATCTCGTGGTTGGCCTGTCGGGGACGTCGTGAAGGCAGTTTCGCAGCTTCTCGGTAGCCGTTTTGGGACCGTTGTGGGGCCTCCTCGGGGCTGTTTTGTGGCCTCTGTAGGCCTCGTTTGGGCCTCCTGGGTGCCTCTTGGGGGCCTCCTGGGGCCTCTTGGGGGCTCCTTGGGGCCTCCTGGGGCACTCTTCAAGCCGGAGGGTCGAATTTTGGAGTCGTGGTCCCACTCTTGGGCGCATCTTGGGGCCGTCTTGGGGCTCTGTTGGGCTGTCTTGGGCGACTCTGGGGCCGTCTTGGGGCCCTCTTGGGCCGTCTTGGGGCGCTCTTGGGGGCCTATTGAGCCGTCTTGGAACGTCGGACAGCCGAAAAGGCTGGAAGGCCAAAATCGGTCGAAAACCTTCGTAAAATTGACGATTTCGGCCTCTGGAAGCGCTCTGGAGAGGCGTCTTGAAGCGTCGTGGAGTGCCTTGGGGGGCCTCTCGGGCCGTCTTGGGCCTATCTTGGGCGTCCTGGAGCGGTCTTTCGGCGACTCGGGGCCCGCTTGGGCCGTCTTGGGAGCCTCTGGAGGCCCTCCTGGCCCATGGGGGGTCGGAGGCGGCGGCCTCCGAGGCCCAGGACGCGGAAACCCAATACAAACACAGGGAAAATGAGCACCCGTCCCCCCATGGGTGGTGGGGGCACCTGTCCTGGGGCCCCCGGCCTCGCCCCCAGGGATATATATATATATATATATATATATATATATATATATATATATATATATATATATATATATATATATATATATTATATCAGTATATATTACAAATAGTTCGAGTTGTATATGTCCATACCTACATCATAGTTATACATCGATGAATCTCTCTGTCTCGCTACATATATATACACATATATGCACATAGATCAAGATGTTTCTCAACCATAGGGTCAACAATTGGGAAAGCCATCGGGACAACAATCGGGACAACCATGGGGACAACCATCTGGACAACACATAACAACATCTATCAATCTATCAACCATCGGGACAAACATCGGGACAACCGTCGGGACAATCATCGGGACAACCATCGGGACAACCCTCGGGACAACCATCGGGACAACCACATCTATCGGAACAACCATCGGGACAACCGCCGGGACAATTGGGGGCCACGCCCGGCGCTCGGGAAGCGCCCTCTAATCAGGATGGAACTCGCGCAGCTTCGCCTCGCTCTCACTCACGACACGAACCGAAACCGAAACCGATTCCCCAGCTGGGGTCACTTCCGCTCCAACCCCCCAACCCCAGATATCCCATCATGACAGAGAAGGGGCCGGCGGCAGGGGGCGAATCCCTTACGGATAAATTGTTAGATTGGAAAGTCCCCAGGCACAAGGATAACACGGGCGAAACACCAACGCGGTCCAATATAACCGCCATGAACAAGGCAGATTCGTTAAGTCAATATGTTCCCGCCCCGTTGAGCGCCCCCGCCACGCTCCCAATGCGGCTGTCCCACTGCATGCTCAGACACTCCCTACTCGCTTGATCATGGCAACACATCTGGGCATCATTCCTTGATGGGTTCGGGTTTACACCGATCTTTTTGGGCGGCTGGTCCACTGCATGCTCCTACACTCCCCTAGTCAAAAGCAACTCGCCTGCCGATCGTTTCTGGATGGGCTGGTGGGGATACACGAAGCGTCAAGACTTACAAGATGTCCCCACTCCCAGCTCAACGATGCCTTCGGAAAGTACGCTGGATCCGCGCTCCCAGCGCCACGATCCCAAGTAAAGAACCCTGGCTATGCGTGAATTCGAGCAGGCATATGTGCGTAGGTGGGGTAACATGTCTTATATCCCCTCTTCCAATACCCTTGCTCCCATGCTCGGGGAGGGGGTCACCCCTCCCTACCAGTGGGCCCACGATGACTCCAAGATAGCCCCCGATGCCCCCAGATGGCCCTCAAGATTGCTCAAGATAGCGGGAGATGGTTCATGAAACTAGCATGAGAAAGCTCCAAGGGTTCTCGGAGCCCTCCAGGGAACCCCCAGGAGGCTAAACTCGTAACAGCACCTAAATGGGAGTCAAGGATGTGTGCCTTCTCGCCCTTTCGTCTCCAGTGGGCCTCTGAGGCATTAACATGGCCCCAAGATAGCCTCAGAGAGCCCAAGCTCAAGAGGGTTAGCCTATTCACCCTCCTCCCGCCCTTCAACGTCATAATCCAAGTAGCTCTGGTGGACATCGTTAAACTAGATCCGCGCTTCCAGGGCCACGATACGTCGCACATAAAGATGGCTCCACCCCCGCAGGGCAACACATTACACCAACTGACTCCAAGTGGCCTCTGCGCGACCTAAGAGCCCGCAAGAGGGATGTGATTCCAAGAGCGCCATGATGGGAATCCAGGAGCCTTCAGTAGGATCCACCGAGCAGCAGGAAGCCCCAGACATTGGCCCGAGCGGGCCCAAGATAGGCCCAATGAAGCTCCAAGGGATCAAAGAGGACTCACTCAGAGAGGGGAGGCCCCTTGGGCGGCCAGGACTAAGAGAAACACAACGAGGAGATGGGGGCAACGACGACGAGGATGGAGGGGGATCCCTCGATGCCTGGAGGAGGGAGGCTGGCGGCAGTGGCCGAAGTAATTTCGATCTTGGTAGGGGAGACGGCGGAGGAAGAGGAAACCAGGGAGCGGATCGAGGACAAGTCAGCGCAGTGGGAAGGGCCGGGAGGGAGGGATGGGATGTCATAGAATGCGCGAGCGCACGTGTCTCGTCCTCCCCGCTCCGCCCTCCCCCCCCCCCTCTCTCTCCAGGCGCTTCCACCTTCCATCCCCTCCCCTATCCTCTCGCATCCCCCCCCGTCCCCCGTGCCCCATCCCCGTCGAGAAACGAAGAACCTCCCCATTGGCCTCCCAATGGGGCCCCCTCCCCCCCCATTCCCAAAACTCCGGCGGACGAACCGGAACTCTTCCGTCCGCAGGCCCACAGAAACTCTCGACCCGTGCCGTGGGGCCGAACGCTCCTCCCGAGCCGTTATCTGACGGCCCCGGGGCCCCAAAGTGTCCCCCCCCCCGGAAGCCAAACGCGACGAGACAGCTCAGCTCTCAGCGTGTCTGCTCGAGCCGCCAGAGATCTGGGCCTCTCCCCTCCCCACGGGGAAGAGGAGGAGGAGGAGGAGGAGGAGGAGGAGGAGGATCTTCCCTCGCCCAATTCACTTAGCTGATTCCCCCCCGTTACGCCAGATACGAACAGCCCTGGCGCTCGCAACCCTCAAGGGGGCACTGAGGAAAAGACCCCCGACTGGCTGACTTAGAGATGAAGTTAGTCGGAGCCCTCTGAACAAGCAAGAACAGCGTCGTGCGCGGGTGGCCTTGCTGCTTCAAACTGCAGCACAGCTCTGACTGCCGCCAGGTGGCCTCTCTCTCTACAGCGGGGTCCTGCGGAGGCTGCCGATACCTGGCGAGGTCCACAGGCGGCTTCCCCCCATTCAGAAGCACAACAGTTGACGATATCAAACCTGTGATGCTGATGGCTACTGATTTGCAGGCTCGATGTGTGAGCGCTCGGCGGCTACGCCGCCTCGCCAGACTGGCCTGACCAAGAGCAGCCATGGTGCGGCCCTGCCTCCCCACCCCCCCAATGAAGGACGGCCGCGCCTCCCAAGGACTCCGCGTGGGCGCCCCCCACAGCCGCGTGGGCGGCGGCGGAGCCTGGGGTGAGGGACAGCGACGGCAACGACAGCCTCGTTCTCCTCCTTCTCCTCCTCCTCGGCCTCCTCCTCCTCCGCCCCCTCCTCGTCCTCCTTCTCCTCCTCCTCCGCTGCCTCCTCCTCGTTCGCTCGTTCATTCGCAGCTTCAGGGCAGGGAGTGGAAGCCCAAGCATAGAGGGTGAAAACAAAAAGAGGTTGGATCGGAGCAACGGCGGCAAGCAAAGCAGCAGCGGCCAGCGAGCTACAAAAGAGCGATACTCTCCAGGCAGGATGCTGCCACTTGAAGCCTGGCGTAGACTTGCATCTGCTTCTTTAATGGTCCTTCCTGGGATGCCAATACTACCAAGTTTGGCTTGGTGGAATCACCTCAGAGGATTCAAACCGTGTAGCGTCTAGATGCACCTTATATCATGAGATATGACATGGTAGGCATTCCCCCCGCCCGGGGGTAGGCATCGGGAAGAGAGGAAAGAGAGAACAACACCATTTACTCTGAGCTGAGCCCCGAAGACCTCCCGTCATTTCGCCCAGATTGCAAAATACAATAAATCCTCAATATTTGCCTTTGTAAATATGGGCCCAGTGGAAAGTTATCCGCCGGCCCCCTTGTGGAGCCACCAGGCTGTAGGGCGAAGGTTCGCAGTTTCCTGTACCAGTTGCAGCTTCCAGTTTCCACTGTTACAGTTCTGCTTCTTGCTGTTTACTGTTCCTTGTTGATGGACCGCGCCAGGGGGGGAGGCCCAAACGGGCAGGTTTAGCACGCCCTGAGCGTGTGCTGAATTGCTGGGGTGGGTAAAAATTAACACCCCTCACGCAGATCGGCGGGGTCAGGGTGCAAAAACACATGGGATTCTCCACATTTCTAAAAATCGGTGGTACCCCTCACACAGATCGGCGGGGCCAAGGTGCAAAAACATATGGGTTGCAACATTTCTAAAATTCGCTGGCACCCCTCACGCAGATCGGCAGGGTCAGAGTCCAAAAACACATGGGATTTGTCACATTTCTGAAATTCGATGGCACCCCTCACGCAGATCAGCGGGGTCAGGGTCCGAAAACCCACGGGATTCTCAACATTTCTGAAATTCGGAGGCACCCCTCAAGCGGATCGACAGGGTCAGGGTCCAAAAACACCAGGGATTTGCCACATTTCTGAAATTCGGCGGCACCCCTCACGCAGATCCGTAGGGTCAGGATCCAAAAACACATGGGATTTGCCACATTTCTGAAATTCGGTGGCACCCCTCACGCAGATCCGAAGGGTCAGGGTCGAAAAACAAACAGGTCCCGACACTGGTTCACGGCGGCGCCCAGACCTCATGATTTAGCTTTTGTATCTCCCATTATCCGAGACAGGGGGCCGGCGGCATGGGGCGAAGCCCTTACGGATATCGACGTAGCGTGTTTGGCACCCACCCGTCGCAAGTCTCATCCATGGTGTAGTGTTTCGTCAGCCACATCTCATCCTGGACTGTCCAATCGTGCCGCGTCTCTGTCAGCAAAATTGGTGGTGAGTCGGCATCGGAATCGGCGCTTGCTTCCCCCTGATGCTCGCCCTCCTCCTCCTCCTCCTCCTCCTCCTCCTCCTCCCCGTCCTCTTCCAGGACTCCTGGACACAGTCTGGCGACAATGCAGGCGGTCCTGCATAATCTCGTTGCTTTAGAATGCCTGTCTCGGGAATGCGCACTGCGCATGCCATCCACCAAACACGAGACCTGTGTTGCATCACAGCAGCAATTCGGCCCCAGACTTTCGCCCTGGGCTCGGTTTCGTGAAGAGTTGATTTTCGGGGTCCGTACGTCTCGGGCCCCCGGGGCCTCAGCGGGCCCTGGGGCCAAACATTAGCGACGTGATGGCTTTCGGGCCTCGGGCCAAAAACCGGGTGCCAAGAATAGTCTCTGGAACCGTCTCTGGGATCCCGAGCTTTACGAGTACCGCTTTCCAGGACGGGAGAGCCCACGCGCCCCGCCCGAAATCGGCAGGCTCACGCCTACCCTCAAGGGAATCAACAGAGCACTGCCATTCTCGATCGGCCTTCCCCAAAAAGCCCCCTCACCGCAACGGCCGGGCGCGGCTCGGAAAACGGCTTACGTAGAAAAAAAGAGGGATATGTCTGGGGGCCGATGCTGAATGGGCCTGTGTCAGACGACGACGGCGGCGAGGGCGACAGGCGAAAACAATCCAGAGGAGCAGCTGCACTGGAGACGTGGAGGTCGAGGAGATCCGCTGCCTCCAGGCTGGGTTCCGCGAAAAGACCGATGAATGTACCTGCCGCCATTTTGCGGCTTCGCGGCAGAGGGGGCGGGGGGGACCCAGACGGGATGGCCAATTCGACATGGGGAATGGCCAGCAGCCTGCTTTGCTGTAAAGACCTCTACCAGCACCCCTGCCCCGACAAAAAAAAACTGCGATGCCCCCCCCACTGTAACGCGCCTGGCGCCTCCTGCGACTTCTGCACCGGGGTCTGCGCTTGGAAGGCCGCGCAACTCTGCGGAGCGGGGACCCGCGCTCTGGAAACGCCGCGGAGGGCCCCCCCCAGGGCTCTCAGATGACAAGGCCAGGCGCTGCCGCGCGCAGCCGCCTGGAGCCCGCCCGGTTGGGGCAGGCGGTCGCGTCCCTCACGAGAACGACCTCGTCGGACGCTTCGTACGCCTGGTCGGAGTTGTCGCCAATGGTGGTGCAGTTCCCGTCTGGCGCCGGGCCCGTCCAGGTGAAATGCGGGTCGCCGCCAGCCCGCGTGCCAGACTCGGTCGCGCAGGCGACCCTGCGCCACTGCCAGGAGGCGTGAGTGCTGTTCTCGACCACCAGGACGCCGGCCCCGAAGCTGGCCTCGCGGAAGGCACTCCAGGTCGGCTGGGGCTGGCGCCAGCCACCGGTGGCCGGCCCCTCGTAGTTCCCCGCGTCACCAACGACGATGTGCGTGATGCCGCACGGTTCCACGGTGCTGTTGTACACGGGGTGGCTCCTCTCGTACGAGTGGACGTGCCCGTTGACCACCAGGTCTACCCCGTGCTGGTACAGGATGGCCTCGAGGTCCTGCTGCGCGTTGAGGCCCTCGAGGTAGTGCTTACTGTTGCTGTTGTACCAGGGCGTGTGGAACAGAACGACCACCCACGGAGTGCGGGTCCGGTCCACCGCCTCCAAGTCCTCCTTGAGAAACTCGTGCTGCGGGCTGCCAGGGCCCGTCGGGGAGTAGGAGCCTGCGAGGCCTACCACGTGGACAAGGCCGGCCTCGTACGAGTACCACCACGGGGAGTCGGAGGCGAAGGGCATGGGGTAGCGCATCTCCCAATCGCGCCCTTGGTACCGGCCCGAGCTGATTTCGTGGTTGCCCGGCACCCCCGCGTGAGGCACGGAGGACATCAAGGGCTCCGCGAGGATTCCGAAAGTGTCCCAGAGCTCAGCCCAGCCGTCCGCGTAGGAGTAGTCGCCTGCCACGAAGAGGAGGTCGAGATCCTGGCCGAGCAAGGCGTCCATGGTGGCCTTACTCACGTTCGTGCTCCCAATGTCCGCCATCAGCCCGATACGCAGCGGCCCTCTTTGGTGTCCCGGCGATGGTGGCGTCGTGAAGGTGAACTCGCGCATCCCAGCCGCTGGGCGGTAGGTGTACTCTGTGTCCGGCTCGAGGTCGGGAAGCGTGACGCTATGAATGTACTTGGACACCCAGTAGCCACGGGGATTCTTGTAGTCGACGCAGCCCTCAGACAGCGCCCCCCATGCCTCGGACGCGGAGTTCAGCCTAAGGTACTGCGCGCTGTCCTCTGGACTGAATGCCGAGGTGTTCACCACGTCTGCCAGGTCCTGGAGGGCCATGGGCGGCGCGCCCATCGGTGGAGAGGTCAAGTAGTCGCCCTCGGGGCACTGCAGTGTGGTGTACGTCCGCACTCTCCCCTCCGCGCTGCGGTTGAGGCGCCCCGCGGACCCGAACAGGACCCTGCTGGGCACGCCGCGCTCCCTCGACAGAAAGACCACCGTCACCGCGCCGGAGAGCCCGGGCATGATGTGCACCTGCTCCACGGGGTCGTCCTCCGCTGGGGCCTGCAGCCCGCGGCCTCTCGCCGCGGCGCGCCGCGCCTGCTCCAGCGCCAGCGGCGGCGAGGCCCGCTGCCGCGCGAAGGCGCGCGTGACGCCCGGGGCCGGCGCGCCGAGGGCCACGCTGGCGAGAACCGCTGGGAGGAGGGGCAGCGCAAGGCGCAGCGGCATGGCGGGCGCGCGGCCGACGCTTCGATGGAGCAGGAGAGGATCAGCTGGCTGCGCTGTCTCCTGTGGTGGGACTCTGCTTTGGGGACTGCTCGGCTGCAGGCTCGAGCCGAAGTTGAGCCAAGGGCTACGGACCCCTGGAAAGTCCAACTTGTGGGTAGCAAAGAAGGCTCACCCCCACTGCCACGACGCTGCCGCCAGCTCTCCCAGGTCGCCCAACTGCCCGCCCACGCGCGCCGCGATGGGCGACGCGCTGTTATCTTCGCGCCCACGCGCCCTCGCGCCGCCCCCCCTGGAGAAAGGCAGCCGCTCCGGCCCAGACCGCGACGCGCGATTATCTTCGCGCCCCCGCGGCTGACCGAGGCTCTCGCACGGGGCCATGCATGGCCACCCCTCTGATGGGCCGATTTTCCACCACCACCGCCACCGCCATAGGTAGGAGAGGAAGGAGGAGGAGGAGGAGGAGGAGGAGGAGGAGGAGGAGGAGGGCCTCCCCATCCTCACTTCTCCCCTGTCCTACGTCTGGTAGTGGTGGTGGAAAATCGGCCCATCATCCTCGGCGAGAACCCCAGGAGCTCCAGCAGCGGAGCACGTGCCCAGCGACGGCGCCTGCCCCCCGCGCAGCCGCCTGCGAGCGCTCCGCCCGCACAGCCGCCCGCTGCCCCGAGCCGCACCAGGGCCACGCTGCCAGTCCGCCTCGTGGCGCGCGAGCGGCGTGCATCGAGCGCGCGCTGCGCCTGGAACTGCGCGCGAGCGGAGCGGCCACGGGCCGGCGGTGGGGGGCGGCGGGCGCGGGCTCGCCCCGCTGGCGGTGGCCGCGGGCGCGAAACGGAATGTACCGTCGGGCCGTCGGGCTGCCCAGGGAGGCGCCCTGGCAGGTAGCCTCGGGCTGCCTAGCGAGGCGTCCTGACAGGTACAGTCGGGCGCTGGGCGGTGGAGCAGCCCTTTTGCCTCAGCCAAAGCGCCCGCTGCGGGAAGTCTCCTGATGAGGTCCCCGAGAGGCCCCTGGGGATGAGCATCATGCAACCGGTACCTAATCGAAGACGCCTACGGCGAATCACCGCCGCCCCCTGCCTTTTTGGAAGCGCCTATGTGGCCGAAGGTTGTGGCCAGAGGCCTGCCAAGCTATCGGACCACGTGTTCCCCGAATCGGTTTGGAAAGCCTTCGGGGAACACGTGGGCATCTTGAAGGTCATCTTGGCCGTCTGGAGGCCATTCTGACCCTTTCGGGCCTTCTTGGAAGACGTCTTGGAGGGCTCTTGGGCCGTCTTGGAGGCTATCTTGAGCGTCTTGGAGGCCGTCTTGGGGGCCTCTTGGGGCCGTGTCTTGGGCCTCTTGGGCGATCTTTGTTGGCATTTGGGACATCTCGGGTCGTCGGAAGGCAGAAAAAAAAGCAAATGCCACAATCCTTCAAGAACCCATGGCAAATCAATGATGTTGGCCTTTTCGGGCCTTCCTGGAGGCCCTCTTGGAGGCCTCTTGGGCCGTCTTGGGCCATCTTAGGGCCATGTTCGGCCGTCTTGGTGGGCTCCTGGTCCGTCTGACGCCGTCGGAAGCCGTTTGGGGGGCCTCTATGGGCCGACTTGGGTCCCTCTTGGAATGCTCCAGGGCCGTCTTGGAGGCCATCTTGGGCGTCTTCAAGGCCTCCTGTGCCGTCTTGGGGGCCGTCTTGGGGGCCGTCTTGGGGCCCTCTTGGGCCGTTCTGGGGCCATCTTGGAGGCCTCTTGGGTGATCTATCGGCGATCTTTGGGGGCTCTTGGGCCGTCGCGGGCCGTCGGAAGGCCGAAAAGAAGCAAATGTCAAAATCCGGCAAAAACCTGAGGAACATCCATGTTTTTGGCCTCTTCTGGCCTTCCTGGGGGCCCTCTTGGGGGCCTCTTGGGCCGTCTTGGGCCATCTTAGGGCCATGTTCGGCCGTCTTGGTGGGCTCCCGGTCCGTCTGACGCCGTCGGGAGCCGTCTTGGGGGCCTTTTCTGGGCCAACGGGGGACCCTCTTGGGGCGCTTCGGGGCCGTCTTGGAGGCCATCTTGGGCGTCTTGGAGGCCATCTTGGGCGTGTTGGAGGCCTCTTGGGCCGCCTTGGTGCCCTCTTGGGGCCGTCTTGGAGGCCACTTGGGCCGTCATGGGGCCATCTTGGGGGCCTCTTGGGCGATCTTGGGGGCCTCTTGGGCCGTCTTGAGCCGTCGGAATGCCGAGAAGAAGCAAATTCCCAAATCCTTCAAAAACCCAAGGAAAATCAATGATGTTGGTCTCTTCGGGCCCTCCTGGAGGACCTCTTGGAGGCCTCTGGGACCGTCTGGAAGGCCTCTGGAGGGCCTCTTGGGTCGTCTTGGGCCGTCTTTTGAACTCTCTTGGGCCATCTTGGAGGCCGTCTTGGAACATCTTGGGCGGACTTGGAGGCCACCTTGGACCATCGTGGAGGCCATCTTGGGCCAACGTGGCCATCTTGGAGGCCATCTTGAGCCGTCTAGGAGGATTTTTCCGGGAATTGGGCGATCTACGGGTGGCCAGCGGGTCGGGCCGAAACCCACTGGGAGAGTTCTTTTAGAAAAATACCCCCCCCCCCCCAAAAAAAAAAAAAAAAAATCTGGCACGCAAGGCACCCCTTTGCTAAAGCAAAAGAGGGCGGCGGATTATCCCCAGTGGCATGGCCTTGGTTCCACTGGCCGACTTACCCCCCAGGTGGGGATATGTGATGTTCCGTTCCCTCCGGGTTCGGCGGAACCTATCCCCACCTGGGCGGGTGACCTGGTGGGGCTGAGACACCATGGTCCTGGGGTGATGGTGATCGGTCAGACGATGAAGAGGGGAAGGAAGGGGAGGAGGATCCCCTGGGGGGAGGAGGAGGAAGGGGGACATCGAAGGAGAGGGAGGGGAGGAGAACCCCCTGGGAGGACGACAAACCACGACGACGGCCACCACCACCGGCGCCAGCAACGGCGGCGGGCGGGGGCGCACGCCTGCGAGCCGAGGGCGGCCCGCGCGTGGGGCGCCGGGCGGCTCTCCTGCGCCAGAGGGCTTCCGGAGGAAGAGACGGAACTGTGCACATGCACACCGACTCTGGCCAGGCCCAACCCTGAGCCCAAGATCGATGCATACGCCCTCTTACCTTGGCCAGGAAGGCGTAGGCACCGATCCTGGGTCAGGGGTGGGCCTTGCCAGGATCGGTGCCTGTGCACAGTTCCCTTCGCCCGAGAGTTGCTGTCTGATGGGCCCCGCAGGACAGCAAGCCTGGCTCCCAATGAGCACGTGCTGTCGGACATCGTGCACACGTCGTCCGTCCCCACTCCGGGCGGGCCGGGGGCCCACCCCATCCGGGAGAGCCCCCCCGCCCTGCCGACCAGAGAGCGTTCTGGGAGCGGGGCGTTCCTGCCGCCAAGAGGCTCCAGGAGGCCTCCGGACGCTCCCAGGAGGACCCACACGCACACAACTCGTTCCAGACGCGCGCCCCGCGCAGCGCGAGGAACCCACGAATCGGGAAAAGGTACCCCCCGAAACACGGCGCCCATGCCGCCCGACTCGGCGACGGAGCGCACCGACTCTGTGCAGAAAGGGAACCTGCCGCTGTCCACGCGCCGCAATCCATGCTTATACGCCTTCTCGACATAGGCGGGCGATCTGGGGTCGACGCCCCTCCCTCCCCCCAAACAACTTCACCCCTCCCCCTGTTCGCCGCCCCCGAGGGGAGGTGGATGGGAGGGGGGGGGGGCACTGCCTGGACGGGGCCCAGGCTTGGCACAACTCGGGGGAAAACGAGCGCGTCACTGTCGTCCCAGTTCTCCTCCGGCGGCGCCTGCTGGCTCACCCTCGGCGGCGGAGGCGGCGGCGGCGGGGCCACCACCTCGGCCGCAGTCCTTTCCTCCTCTTCCTCCCCCTCCTCCTCCTTCTCCTCCTCCTCCTACTCCTCCGCCTCCTCCTCCTCCTCCTCCCCCTCCTCCCCCTCATCCTTCGATCCTGCGATGCTTCGACCTCCCTCGCCCTGGAACGGTGGGGGCAAGGACCTCCCTCGCCCTCGCCCTTCCTCCTCTTCCTCCTCCCTCCCCTTTCCTTTATCCTCCCTGTCGCACCCCCCGACGTGTCGATGGGGCGGACCGGGCGTCTCGACTAGGAAATCTTCACCACCTCTGGTTCTGAAGCGTGAAACGTCCAGCAGTTTCACGGGTGGAGGGGGGTCGTTTTCCAATTGTGGCCCTGGCACTGAAACAGCGCACCTTCGACTTGTAAAAGTTCGCCCGTTTTCACAAACGGAGGGCGGATGGTGTTCACAATGCGGATTATGCAAGAGCGCCGCGCACATTCGCATCATAAGTTTGCAACAGCTCAGAGGTTTGAGGGGGGCTCGTTTCCGAATTGTGGCTTCGACTCAGCGCCAAGCACATCTTCTCATTTTGAAAATTAGCAACAGCTTCACGGATGGAGGGCGATGATTTTTTCAACTGGTGTTCTAGCCCCCGCGCCGCGCACATTCGTCTGGAAAGCTTGCAGCAGCTTCACGGATGGAGGGCGCTGTTTGTCCAAACTAATGTTCTCGCCGTAGCGCCGCGCACATTCGCTCCCAAAAAACTTCAGCAATTTCATGGATGGACGGGGGCCTTTTCAACAATGTGGTTCTCGCCTTGGCGCTGCGCACAATCGCCTGAAAAACTGCAGCTTGTGAAGGGGGGGAGAATTGTGCTCTCGCTGTAGCGCCGCGCGCACTCGTCTGAAACATTTGCAACAGCTTCGCGGATGGCAGGGGGTGTTTTCAAAACGTGATTCTCGCCTTAGCGCCGGACCCTTTCGTATTGAAATTCTCGACATTCTCAGGGATGAAGTCGGGTGGTTTGGGAGAGAAAGCTCTCGCCTCAGCGCCCTGCGCATGCGTTTCAAAAGTGCGTACTATCTTCATGGATGAGGGCTCTCGCCGTAGTGCCGCGAACATTCGTCTCAAACTCTTGCAACTTCTCTCACATTCGTCTTCGCACTCGTCGCAGATTCCACAATACGGTTGGGGGGGTAACACTGAAGGGGGTATGATTCGAGCTATCTTGGAGGATTCGGGGGGTCTGGGCAAAAGGCCGCTCTTTCATGGCTGGTCTGGGGGGGGGTCTGAAACTGCTCGTCTGAGAGGGTTGCGACCCCCTCAACTTTACTGTGAAATCCAGAGTAGTCTATCTCCAAATAGGCGTATCGTCTCAGCGCCGCGCGCATTCGCTCGTGAACGCAACGGTTAGCAGGATGGAGGACTACTCTGGTTCGAAATGAAGTGAGCGCACGAGTCTTCGTAAAGCACCGCACATGCAGCGCTGCACGGATCCATGGGGGCTCGCTTTCTGAATCAAGCTGTCGATTCAGACCTCCTCGGAGGTCATGACTTCAAGTGTCCACATGCTCAACAAGCTACACGGATGGGGGGGGCGGTCTTTTTCTCAAAACGGGGACATAATTGAACACCTCGTCAAGCTGTATGGCATGCGCGCACTACCACGATGCGAGGCGATCTCGCTTCAAAGCGGAACTCTCGCCAGCGTAGCAGGCCCAACGGCGCTTGCGTTTCAAGGGGGCCCCCCTTGCAGCGAAGAAGGACACTTACATGGGCGCATGAAGGAGGATGTATTGCAACAGCGCTTGTTTGTATTCGACTCTCGCCCTCCCCCTCCTCATTCTCCTCTTCCTGCACATTCGTCTTCAAAAAATGTGAGAGCTTCACTAGTTAAGCGGGCTTCATGCTCAGCATCTGGCTCTTGCCTCAGCGCCGCGCACATTCGTTTTTTGTATTGCAAGAGTGTCGCGGGCTCTCATGATTTCACCTGCCAGAATAGGTGTTCGTCGTCGAACGATTCAGGATTGTCAGGGCGGCACAGTTACGTCGGTTCGCTGTGTTGAAGTCCCAAGAACATCACAACGCAACAGTCCGGTTGACCCGTGGCGTTGAAATCCTGATAATGGTGTTTTGGCAAGTGTCATGACTTTCGACTGGTTGTCTCCCTTATAAGGGGCCTGTGCAGAGGGAGCTCGGAGGGAGAGTGTATCCCAACATCGTTGAGGAGTTTGGGGTTTACTCTCGTCCTCCTCCTCCTCCTCCTCTTCCTCCTCCTCCTCCTCCTCCTCCTCCTCCTCCTCCTCCTCCTCCTCCCCCCATCCTCCACTCCCCTCCCCCATCCCGCTGCTCCTCATTTCTCGCTGCTGCTGAATGATCAGTCGTCCCTCCCCATCTCCCTCCTCCTCTTCCTCCTCCTCTTCCTCCTCCTTCTCATCCTCCTGACTCGTCATCATCACCATCATGCACCCATCCATACATCCATTCTCCTCCTCCTGCCCCCGTTCGACTCCTCCTCCTCCTCCGCATTTTGCTTCGCATCCTCCCTTCATCCCTCCTTCTGCTCGATCGCAGGCCTCCCAGGCTGGCTCCCAGGAAGGGCCCCACGGGTCCTGCGGAGAGCATCCACAATTTAAAGGATTGACGGCGGCAGTCAAACGAGAAAGGAAGGAGGCGAGTTTAAAAAAAGAGAACCAACAAATATACACATACGCTTCCGGCGATCTGCGCGGAGTTTTTGGATCGGCGCTGGAACCCCATGACGGCGCCTCCGGCGCCGCCGCAAGCACACTGCACGCGCCAGGGAAGGAGGTCCAGCGCAGATCCAAGAAATCCGCGCAGAATGTCAACAGGTTATGTTCGCGCTGTCTTTTTCGGGAGTCAAGGAGAAGAGGCGGGGCAAGCAGGAGATTTCTGATATTCCAAAAGATGTTCAATTATGTTCGGGTTCTGTCAAGAATTCGCGTGGGTCTTTGGGGGGGTTTTGGAGAAGCTTGGGGGGATGGCACATGGACAAAGATGTGGGTCTCTTATGCCGTGGACCCGATAGCCGGCAGCCCGTCTTCCCCAAGTCCAGAGATTGGTGCCGGTTTCGCGAAGGGAGTCTGGATGGGGCCAGGGGGTCTGCGCTCGATGGGCCCCGAGAAAATCAGTCAAGAGGGGGGGACAAGGGCAAAGCCGTACACAAAAAACAATCCCCTGACCCGGACCTCTCCCGGGGTCGAAACTGATAAGTTGTTCGAGACGCGCCAGGCGAGGCGACGGAAAGGCCTTTCTCCCCGTTCCGCCCGTTGAAACCAGTGCTGGGCCACCTCAGCCCCCCAGCCAGCGGCTAAAAGTTCAGCCAGGCCTGCTCCCCCAAAGCCCCGCGACCTGACACCATTATTTTGCTGGGACGGGGGCAGAGTTACGAGGTGTCCCCCTTGCCATGGAGGGGGGGCAACAGGCCACCACCATCACGCCTCCAGGGGCGCATTCCAATAAGCAGGTGCATGGTGAATGCGCGTGCCTGTATGCAAGCATACATGCACTGCTCGCAACTACGGGTTCGTACTTCTGTTCTGTCCTCACACCGTAGACTGCACCGCATATGTTGCACCACACATGTTGAACAACATCTCTTCCCCCTTTTAAGCGAGTAATAGGATATACCCCCTTTCCCCGCCGGGACTTATCGATCCCCCTGGGGTATTGCAGTTACGCACACGATTCTGCCACATCACCCATCCTGAATATAAACTCGTATCATCCAGGCCAAACCTGTATCCCCCACCCCGTCATTTCCTGCAGAACATATACCATTCGCGAACACTCGTATCAAAACTCACCAGTTTTCAAGATTCCCGAACAAAGAATACGGAACGAAATGCACACGCGCGCACATGCCGAAATCCTTCAAAACATTAGGTTCCACAGGAATTTCAAAAAACGAGCGTCCCGAAAACGAGTAAAGCCACAGAGTTTCGCAACAAGAACGCTCAAACACAACAACAAGCAACACAAAAAACGAAGATGCGCCCGCGTTCTTGCTATCTGTTTATACATCAAAAACCGTTTTTACACCTGCGACCAAAGGAGCCCTTAGCGCGCGCATGTCGGAATCGCAAGAACACCCTCGTGCACGTGCTGTCACAAGAGTCCACTGGAAAAGAAAAACGCTGCGCACGCCCGCGCATGCCGTAAACTTTCAACAAGGGCAGGCTTCGTAGGGAGTTGAAAAACGACTCTCCCGAAAACGCACAAAAAAATGCAAATTACCGAACAGCGAAGACTGATAGGTTTCTAGTGGGCTCAAAAGAGAACATTTTGACTCCCCATGGGGGTCTGGGCGGGTGCGAGGAAAAGCCGGGGAACCCGAGGCCTCCCCAGGACTCATATAGAATCCGATCGTTTCCTATGGATTCCTACTCTTCGTATTCCCAGAACACAATTCCCAGGCCACATTTTGAATGCCCGGAGCCAACTGTAAGGCATTTCGTGTTTTTCATCTTCCCAAAACACCACTCCCAGTCCACACTTTGAATGCCCGGAGCCAACTGTAGGCCACTTCGTGTTCTTCGCGTTCCCAGAACATCACTCCCAGGCCACATTTTGAATGCCCCGAGCCAACTACTGAAGGCCACTTCGTGTTTTTCGTCTTCCCAGAGCACCACTCCCAGGCCACATTGTGAATGCCCGGAGACAACTGTGGGCCACTTCGTGTTCTTCGTGTTCCCAGAACACCATCCCCAGGCCACATTTTGAATGCCCGGAGCCAACTGTAGGCCACTTCGTGTTCTTCGTGTTCCCAGAACACCATTCCTGTATCAGATTTTAACTGCCCGGAGACAACTGTGGGCCACTTCGTGATCTTCGTGTTCCCAGGACACCAGTCCTGTGCCATATGTTGAATGCCCGAGCCGAGGCAGGCTGAGCCCGAGGCAGGCTGAGGCCGAGGCAGGCTGAGGCTGAGGCTGACGCACGCCAAGGCAGGCTGAGGCTGAGGCTGAGGCAGGCTGAGGCTGAGACGGCTGAGGCTGAGGCTGACGCAGGCTGAAGCCGAGGCAGGCTGAGGCTGAGGCTGAGTGAGGCAGGCTGAGGCTGAGGCAGGCTGAGACTGAGGCTCAGGCAGGCTGACGCTGAGGCTGAGGCTGATGCAGGCTGAGGCTGAGATGCTGACGCTGAGGCTGAGTCAGGCTGAGGCTGGGGCTGAGGCTGAGGCCGAGGCAGGCTGAGGCTGAGGCTGAGGCAAGCCGAGGCCGGCTGAGGCTGAGGCTGAAGCTGAGGCAGGCTGAGGCTGAGGCTGCGGCTGAAGCTGAGGCTGAGGCTGAGGCTGCGGCAAGCTGCGGCTGAGGCAGGCTGAAGCTGAGGCTGCTGTTGCGTCGACGCCGTCGACGCCGTCGCTGGAGCTGCTCCTGCTCGGCGCTGCCTCTCCCGGGCTCTCCTACAACCGCTGCCGCGACCTCATTATACTCTTTGTTTGGCTGTTTCCTGTGCTGCTCCTTGTCCTTGCTGCCTGCGTCGGCGGCTGCCTTCTGCTCGTCGGCTATCCACTTGCGGCGGCAGACGCTGCGGCGGCCTTGATCGCGGCAGTAGTTGCAGTCTACGTCGGCGCCTGCGCCCTGCGACCCCCCCCCCCTTCCCCCCCTCTTCTATCCCCGCCCGTTCCTCGACGCCTCCGCGGCGCCCATCCCGCCTCTCAACGCGCCGATGCCCACCGGGTCGTCGTGGGCCGCTCGCCTCGCCGTCAGCACAGAGAAGACCACGCCTCTCAGGAACTCGCGCGCGCCCAGCCCGCTGCTGCCCCGAGACGCGCGCCGCCGCAAACCCTCGTGCTCCCTGAGCGCCTTGGCTGGGGTGCCTCTTCTGATCAGGTCCGAGACGGGCTCGCCCGCCATCTTCTGGCACCTCGCCAGGTACTCGTCGAGCTCGCTGATGCCCACAACCACGTCGTCTCGAGCCTCGGACTTCGCGCCCGCCAGCTAGGTCCACATCGCTAGCACGTTGCCGGCTTCGCTCGGGCTGCACTCCTTCCGAAGCTTCCTCCAGCACTCGGCGCCTGCCCCTACGGCACTGCCCCCCGCCATCAGCTCGCCCACCGAGTCCCCTGGCACCGCGAGGGCCAGGGAGAAGCACTGGTGCGCGCTGAGCTCTTTTCTTGGGCTACAGGTCCACGTTGTCTACGTCCTGCGCTCCGTCCTCGGCCTTCTCCAAAAGCGGCCGAGACCTTCTGCCCCGAGCGAGCACGCACGCCTTGCTCTGGGAACCAAACGCAGCCCAGCTCGCCCTCCGTCCGTCGAACGGCTTCATTTCGTGAGGGATGCTCGGGCCCATCATCTCGCCACGCGCTCCTCGTTCTCGGTCGGCTTGATCCCTCTGCTGGAAGTCCGTTCTCATCTGCTGACCCTCCATCGTCAACCGCTGCACTTGTTCGACCAACTCCCGCACTTGATCTTCCATCCTGCTCGCGTCGCTGAATGTCGAGCGCGAGCTGTCGCTTCACCGCTGCTCGCACTTCCTCCATTTAGCTGCGCCGCGTCACTACACCCGGCTAGCTTCCTCCAGGCGCTCCCGCGATTCTATCGGTGGAATCGGCTGTCCGCGGCCCGACCTCCACGCTTGTTCCGCTTCTGCGGGCCAGCCTTCGGCTTGGCCTGCCACCTGCTGCTTGGATGGCTGCAGAGCTTCTTGCCTGCCGCCCGCTGGCCAGGCCTGCGTCGGGTCTCTCGCAGCTGAAGCGCGGGGTTCCCCGCTGCCTCCGCGGCCTGCCGCCGCCCTTCCGCGGCCTCGGCCGCTGGGCCCCCTGCGCGCCGCCGCTGGGCCCCTCGCGGGGTTCCTGGAGCTCGCGGGGCGCGGTCCTGGCCCGCGAACCGCAAGCGAGCCCCGCTACCACGCACGCGCTGCCCCACCCCGGATGCGGAGAGAGGGGTTGAGGGGGGGCGCCTTTTTTCTTGCGCGACAAGCGGCTGCAGGATTTCGGGTACCCGCCCGAGAAGTATAAACACACAAACTGGCTAGCAGATGCCTAATAGTGTTAGACAAATTCCGACATGCGCGAGCGACGCTGCGCACGCGTGGACTTTGTTTGCTGCGCTGCAAGGAATGTTTGCAACTTGACGGTTGTTGACGAACGAGCGTGCTTGCATAACATTAGTTAACCAAGATGAGGGGTGAACCACCTTGGATGGGATGTGGACTCAGAATTATAATACACGATACCAAAAACAGGGAAAGACTTATGAAACATCGAGTCGGCAGATCGGCGGAAACCGGTGGATTAATAGAATCCAAAATCGAATCGGGCTCGGGATCGATCGACAGAGAATCGAATCGGAGGAACCGAAGTGAGCCCCGCAGGGGGGGGGGACGGAGGGCGAGGAGGGAAGGGGGCCCCTGGAGAGGAGCTGCGGCAGGAGCAGGCGCGGGAGAGGCGGCGGACGTCAGAAGCAGGAGCTCTGGGATGTCATCCACGGGAGGGGGGAGGGAGCGAGGGAAGGGGAGAGAGGAGGAGGAGGAGGAGGAGGAGGAGGAGGAGGAGGAGGAGGAGGGGAGGAGGGGGAGGAGGAGGGGGAGGAGGAGGAGGAGAACGAGGTGGAGGAGGAGGAGGAGCGGGAGGAGGAGGGGGAGGAGGGGGAGGAAGAGGAGGAGGGAGCGGGGGACACGCCCAAACCCTAAACCTCCGACGTCTTCCAAGACATGCTCGCGTCGTGCAGAAACCACGCAAGAGACGTTTTTGACAGCGTTCGGCCTCTGGGGGTCCTCGCCGGGCCCGGGGCCGTCTAAGAACGATGCGGGATGAAAGCACGGGCCCTCGGGAAGGGGTCGGTACTGCGGGGGCCGCGCGTGGAAAAATCTGAACATCGCAGGTCTGGACTACTTTCAATACCGTTTCTCCGTCCGGGTGACTTCGTTCTGGCGGCCCCACGGCCCCGCGAGGGCCCCCAGACGCCGAAAGCGATGTAAAAAACGGCATCCTGATTCTCCAACATGTTGGAGGTTTGGGACTGGCTCACGGCCAGCGCCGCAGGCTTGCCCTCGAAGTCCTGCTCATGCCCGAGCGTCAGCGCCAGCGGCGGCGCCGGCTGCGCACGGGGCTGGGCGCTGCTGGCGCTCGGCGCCTCCTCTCCAGCGGGGACGAAAGTGAAGGGAGATGACCGGGAGGAGGAGGGGGAGGAGGAGGGGAAGAGAGGAGGGGAAGAGAGGATGCGCAGGAGGAGCACTGTGACAATAAAGGAGGATAGGGGCAGAAAAAAAGAGACAGGTGGTGGTGGTGGTGAACGGTGGCATTGCCGCCAATGCGTGCTCACATCCCGACCCGAATTGGAAAATCCCGAGTGCAGCAACACTGGGCCCCTAAGAAAAAAACAGATTGCGCTCAAAGCTTGAAGTCCAGAGAAGCAGCCCACGGCGCTATGCGCCTGTGCCTCCGCTCACTGGTTGCGATCATGCAGGTCTGTTTTCCTGCAAGCTGCAAGCTGCACATCAGTAAGAATCAGCCGAGGGGGAGGGGGGGAGGGAGGAGCGAAGGTAGGCAAAGGAAAACCCCCGGCCTCCTCGAGCTCGTACGGCCGAATGAGGGGGGCGGCTGCCTCGGCCTCCGCGTCGTCCTCAGTCCCAACCTCGGCGCCTACAGCGTCGTGTGGTTCGGGCGCGGGTGGGGGACTGGGCGCGGAAGGAGACAGGAGGGGAGGGAGGAGGGGGGACAGAACGAGAAAGGAGGGAGATCAAGGGGGGCCGAAGAGGAAGATGAGAGAGACGAGCGAAAGGGATTGAGGGGAGGAGGGACGCAGGAGGAGGAGGGAGACCAGTGTAAACCCAAAGTGAATCAACGATGTTGCAATAAACCCTCCATCCAAGTTCCCTGTCATAGGCTCCTGAAAGGAAACGTCTTCACTGCGGACAAAAAAAACGCTGGCAAAAAACGTCTAAAACCTCAACGAATCGAATCAACGTTACTGTTGCGACCTGACGGTCCCATATCGATCCGGAACACCATTTCTGGAACGTCAACACCGCGAATCACCATGGACGTCGCGTCCTGACAATCGCAAATCGTGCCAGAACACTTGTTCTGCGACGTCAACCACCGAAATCCTTGATTGAAACTGTTGAACACTGTTAAGAGCACATTGACCGTACGCGGCGCTAAGACGAGAGCCACATTTTGAAGGACCCGCCCTCCATCAGAGGAACTTCTGCAAACTCTTAAGACGAATGCGCACGGCATTACGGCGAGAGCTACATTCTGAAAAGGACCCGTGCTCCATCCGTGAAGCTCTTTCACATGTCAAGTTTCTGGGTCATATATGGTAGAGGAATATCAGGCGAAACGCCCAGCCCGCCCTGCCCACCCGTCTCGGGATGCGACAGGGAGGAGGCCTCTACGGAGAAGGAGGAATTCATCCGAGGGAAAGAACCAGAAGGCGGAGGGGAGGGAGGGGAGGGGGAGGGGAGGGAGGGAGGGAGGACAATAGCGCATCCACGCGAGACCTGGCCAGGCCCGCGCCCAGCCTGGCACGGACCCGGCCACGCTCCGCGTGGACGCGCGGTTAGCGTTATGTCGGGCGTGTCCCCCTACAGGGGGATTTCCGACGAAAAATGAAAAATACCTTCAAAATATCCCAGAAAGGTAAAAACAAAATACTTAACAAAAAAAGTCCCCAGACTATTGTTGGACTATGTTTTAACTATTTTGGGGGGTATTTATTTTTCGTCGAAAATTCCCCTGTAGGGGGACAGGCCCGACTTAAGGCTAGCGCCCCCGAGTCCTCGTCGACGCTGGTGGGGACGACGCTCAGCTCGTCGACGGAGTCGCTGGCGCGCGTGCTGTCGTCCTCCAGGCAGTACCACTCCGCCCACTGCAGCCGCCTCTGGTGCCGCCTGCCCTGCACGTGCTCGAGGGTGCCCCACTGGCTGCAGACCCGGCACCACCACCAGCCCTCCCGCCAGACGAAGTACTCTGGGCTCCCCCAGCTCGCTGGAGGCCCCTTCTGCTCGCCGTGCTGGTCCTGCACCCTCAGCTGGCTCAGCTGCTCCTCGCTGCCCCACCACTCGTGCCACTCTACCCGCCTGTGGTGCCTCTCCGACGCGAGGTGGCCGTCGGTGGCGAAGGTGTGGCACAACAGGCAAAAGTGGTAGCCGTCCTTCATCTGGATCCACGGCTTGTTCAACGGGTCCCAGACTGCCAGGACGCCCTCGCCCTCGACGGCGGCTGGCGCCTGCGCGGCGCTTTGCTGCGCGGGCGGTCCCAGTCGGGGGGTCGGCGGCGGCGTCCCGTTGCCGTCCGCGGGGCCCGCGGCCGTTGCCGCTTTCCCCGGCGGCGGCGGCGCGTTCCTGAAATTGTCCGCGAAGTAGCGCCTCATGGGCCCCCCGCGCGCCGAGGGAGCCGCGCGCCGGCGGCCCCCGCTGTTGGCGGGCGCGGGGTGGTGCGGCGCGGTGGCGCCACTGAGGCGATGGCAACGGCAGGGGGGAAGAGGGCCCGGGAGGGCGCCGCCCGCCTCAGGGGCGTGCAAAGGGGGGGGCGTGCAAAAACTGGGTTCGCACATCGTGGCCCGGGGCACGTGCGCAGGCCAGGGGGAGGGCCAAAGGACGCACTGAAAACAGACAAGGCGCCATTCAATTCGGGGAGATGTCAAGGCCCTGGCCATGCGATGCCACCCCCAAATCATCATCCCCCTCTCTCGGGCGCACGTTAACACGGATCGGGGAACGCACACACCCGACATATGAGGCACGCGCCGCCGAACTCAACGACAGCGCTCGCTGATATCGCATGGAAGCAGGACCCGTCGCTAATCCACGCACCTCCGGCCAGGTTGGCGTTTCCTCGGCTCTTGGCCGCTTCCGACGGGCTGCTCCGACGCCCGCCCCCTGGCCAGGCCAGTGGCCCAGTGCCCTCCGCGAGGGGTGCAACGATCAGCCTCGCTGCCCGGCCCAGGCACGCTCGCGCCATAGAACAAAACGATTCGAGGTCTCTGGCAGCTTTCGACCTCCAGGGGGGCACTCGCCAAGCCTCGGGACCGTCAGACACGACTCGGGATGAAGAATCAGCCACAGGGAAAGTGTCGGGACTTCTGGAGCCCCGTATTGGGGGGGGGGAAACACGACCTCGCATGTCTGGGTATCTCTCCCAAAAATCCGATGTTACATTGCAGCGTTGTTGTTCAGGACGGGGCCCCCAAATGGGAAAGCGAAGAAAAAATGTCCCGCAACCCCCTTTTCACAAACAAGCGCATGCCCATCGCGGGTTCACACACCGTACACGATGCTGACCACCCCGCCGCCAGTTGCATTGTTAGCTCCCGCCCCCTCCCCTCCTCATTTTCATTGGCTCACGCACCAAGGTTCCGAGGCCGCTCCCAGCCCCCTGCGCGGGCCGAAGCAGCAAATAGCTAGGACAGGAAGCGCAGCGGCGCCGCAACAATCAAGTGAAAAACCGGGGTGGGCGGGCGGGGCAAGCGGTCCCACCCTTAAGCCCAAGACGGCAACAGGCATGCGGCGTGCACGCAGCTAAGAAGCGAGGGGGGGAGATGAAACTGCAACTCAGCTTCACCTTTGCGAATCCGAGGCGGCTCCCGCCCCCTTCCCTCCTCTTGTTCGGTGGTTCAAGCACCAAGGTTCCGAGGCCGCTCCCGGCCCCAATGCCAATGAGGGAAAATGGGGAGCGGCGCAGGAGCGTGGCACAGCGGTGCCTAATTCTCAGGGCCGGAATCGTCGACGACGACCTGCGCCAGCAGGCCAGCGGCCACCTCACCTCGTCGCCCGACACGTACGGCCAGGCAGAGGCCACCGACCGCCAACCACCCCGCGCGAGCATGGCTTCCACGCCCGACGCGGAAGGGGGGGGGGTCCCGGGCCGGGGGGGGCCAGGGGCCAAAAAAAGCCCCAAGACGGGACAAGAATGCCCCAAGACGGGACAAGAATGCCCCAAGAGGCTCCCAAGACGGTCCACGAGGGCCCCGAATCGCCGAACTATCTGTCCAAGACGCCTTGACGGCCTCCAGACGGCCCAAGAAGCCTCCAGGAGCACTCCCAAGAAGGCTCTAAGAGGAAAAAGCACAGGTTCCCCTGTGGTTTTAGAAACATTTCGGCCTCTTCAGCTTCCCAAGACTCCAAGACGGCCCAAGAGGCCCTCCAGATCGCCCCAAGACGGCCCAAGAGGGCTTCAGGAGGGACCAAAAATGACCCAAAAAGGCCCCGAAACAGCCCAAGACGCGTCCAAGACGGCCCAAGAAGCCCCGAAGACGGCTCCAAGAGGGTGCCCAGACGAGCTACCAGAACGGACATTTCGAACCCTCGGCCCCGAGAGGCTCCCAAGAGGAACCAAGAGGCTCCCAGGAGGCCCCCAAGAGGCCCCAAGAGGCCCCCAAGAGGCCCCCAGGAAGCCCAGAGAGGCCCACCTGAGGCTCCCAAGAGGCCCCCAAAAGGCTCCCAGGAGGCCCCTAAACTGTCCCCCACGCCCCCGAGAACGCTTCGAAGAGACCCCAAGAAGCATCCGTGAGGACTCTGACCCACGTCAGCGTCGTCGTCGTCGCCGCCGCCGCCGTTGTCGTCGTTCCCCTTCAGGGTCGGCGGCACCAGCCGTAAAGCCTTCGCGATATCACCCCTTTTGGCCCCTAGTGTCACTGCGCGCGTTTCGTCTTCCCGTCTCCAAACAACTCCCCTAGGCGTCGTGTCTGAATGGGCTGATGGAGCGTGAAGCCAAAGACGCCACCTCCTCCCACTTTCTACTCCTCTTCTTCCATCATGTCTCCCTCCTGCTCTTTCCCTCCTTCCACAATTACACAACATGAATACTGCTCTCCTCTCCCCCATGGTGGCGTCCAAGGAATACCTGGCCCTCCTCCGCGTACGGTTTTTCAAACACAGGATTCCCAGGATTTGAGTTTCCGCTTTGGTTTTTCAAGATGCTGCCCTCGCTGAAGCGCTGGCCTCATTTTCGGGCTACCGCTCGTTCCGAATCGTGCTGCCGCTGCGGCGCTGGCCTCATTTCCGCGCTTCTGCTCGTTCCGGATCGTGCTCCCGCTGAAGCGCTGGCGTCATGTCAGCGCCATGCCACGGCATGGTTCTTGGTCATTCCAAAAGGGCCCAAATATCTAGAACATGGACTCCCGAAGAAACCATCGGAAGGGATTACACATTCGGTGCCGATTCGTTGACGTTCTGGGCCGCGGAAGCCCCCCAGACGTTGGGGCGTCGCCACGCCATGCTATGTCAGGCTACGCGTCCTCATCTCCGCGCTCCCGCGCGAAGTTGTTGTTCAAGATGCTGCTCTCGCTGAAGCGCTGACCTCATTTCCGCGCTTCCGCTCGTTCCGAATCGTGCTGCCACTGCAGCGCTGGCCTCATTTCCGCGCTTCCGCTCGTTCCGGATCGTGCTCCCGCTGCAGCGCTGGCGTCATTACTTTCAGCGCCATGCCACGGCATGGTTTTTCGATTCGTCGATTTGTTGGGCCGCGGAAGCCACCCCCCACACCTTGGGGCGTCGCCACGCCATGCTATGTCATGCTACGCGTTGATCTTCGACACCATTCTATGCCATATCATGCTATGCCATGCTACGACATCCGATTGGGCGAATAGAAATGAGGTCTACGCCATGGCAAGGGATGGGAGGGACGGGTAGGACGTCAGGTATGACGCGGGCGCACCTAGCTTGACTCTCCTCCAACTCCTCCTCCTCCTCCTCCTCCTCCTCCTCCTCCTCCTCCTCCTCCTCCTCCTCCTCCCATCTAGGCTGTACCGGAATTCGATTGGGAACGTGTTCTGTCGAACTATTATTCGCCCTCCGCGTCCACCGCATCCTCCTAATTTCTCTCATCCTCTTTCCCTCCTCAATCCCCTGCACTCTCTCCATCTCGCTCTTTCTTTTTCTCTCTCTCTCTCTCTCTCTCTCTCTCTCTCTGTCTCCCTCCTCCGCCACCTTCTAAAGAGGTGTGCACGGTTGACTACTGGATCTATATGGTGCACTCCCCGATCAAGGCACCTCGCCTTGACATCGATTCTGAATGGGCAAGTGGGAGTACGGAAAGAGTCAAGAAGCTCGCACATTGGACCCGCTCCAAAACACCCCCAAAGCGCCCAAACCCGCCCCAAGAGGTGAGTGTGAGGGTTTTGACGCAGGGACTGAGATTGAGATCCGCCCTTATCTACTCACCTTTAAAGAGGTGGCCTCCAAGAGGCCCCTTAGAAGGCCTCCGCCAGAGGGCCAGAGGAGAATTCCAATGGCCTCCGAAATGATCCCCAAGAAGGCACCAATAAGCTCCCAAAGGTCCCCCTATAGCGACAGATCCAGAAAAAATGCATTTATGATCAAATGGTTCCGCCCCTAATGGGATCGCCCCCTTCCCCCCCGGGCTGGATGGGCACGCACGAGAACCTCAAGAAGACCTCGCGAAAAAGATCGCCCCCCCTCCATCCCCCCCCCGTGGTCGTGGCCGTGTGGGCGTGGCGTGGTGACAGGTGGACGTCGTCGTTGTTGTCGTCGTCGTCGTCGGCGTCGGCGTCGTCGGCGTCGGCGTCGGCGTCGGCGTCGGCGTCGGCGTCGGCGTCGGCGTCGGCGTCGGCGTTGGCGTCGGCGTCGGCGTCGGCGTCGCGTCGTTGCGATCAAAGTCGGCAACGCCGTTGTCGTTTTCCGTCGTTTTCGGCGTCGGCGTCGCCGTCGTCGTCGGCGTCATGTGGTCGTCTGCGTCGTCGTTGTCGTCGTCATGTGGTCGTCGTCGTCGTCGGTCGCCGTCGTCGCCGTCTTCCCCCCATCCCACCTGAGGAGGGGTGCCTGTGGAACCCTGGGCCCATCCTATCTGGGGGGGTGGGACCTATGAGCCCTCGACCTTGACCCGCGGGTCTGCTCGGGCTGGCCCCGAGATTCAGATCGACTGCTGCACCCCCTCCGCGTTCCACTGTTTGCCCCTGCACTTCCGTGATCAAGACAATTCGCCTGGGAGTCGTTCCTGGATCGGCGCTGAACCCCCTCCCCAGCTCGCGGAGCGCGCCAAGGGGGCGCCCGAGGCGCGGCCAGGGGCCCAGAACCGACCCAAGAAACCCGCGCAGAACTCAGATAGATTATTGTGACACTTTCGGATTCGACCCAACACATCCCTGACTACTGCAACTTCGCTCGGACATTGTTTCTGGATGGGCTGGTGGGGATACGCATAAGACAAACATTACGCGACCGAGGAATCCCACGCACTTATGCTATGTCTGGCGCGATGGTAGCTGAATGGTGATGGCGGCCGTTGCCCCGCCGATACCGCTGGCGAAGCCTGTCATGCCTTGGGAGCCGGACGCGCTGCAGCGCCGAAGGGAATTGGATTGCTCGGGCACGCCACAAGAAACGATTCGCACGCCGCCGCTTCGACAGAAAGTCTCGGCGGGCAAGCGCTGCTTTCGCGGGGCGCGGCTCGGGGCTCTTCGCGCGAAGCGCGGCCTGTCGACAGAGCATCTCGAAACTGCACGCGCGCGTAATTGCGGGAACGAGTAGCGATGTTCTTCAGCTG